ACAATGAAATCTGGAAAGGCCCATGGGCTTTTATATAATCCACAGGGTGATATCAAAAATTTAAGCAGGTTTCTGTTTTGATTTCTGTTTTGTTATATGAGTAACATTTTGAAACATGGGCCTTACCAGAATTATGCTATAAGGATTACATCATGGTTATTTTGAAACTAGAAAACAATCCTATGAATTCAGTGAGCATTTTGCCCAATATTTTTATTAAAGATTGATACCAGGTTTTTAACAGCCCCTTTGGCATGATGATTACAGAAGGTATTTACTTCAATAATTCATTCAGTACAATCTGATTTTTAAAAGTATGCCAAGCATCTGATAATGTTATATGACTGATAGATATATGAGTATTCTAGGCCGATAAAAAAGAACAACTGTTTTAGCTTCATCGAAAAGAAAAAAATTGGTTTCCTGTTCTGTAAATTATATTTTTGAAACAAAATGGATTTCCACTGAAATTTATTTCTTGGTTAAAAATTGCTAATTTAATTTCTTTGCTTGAATAATATCTAATTGATTAATTCCTTTGAAAATAAGGCAAGACTTGGAAACATCATAGATGGTCCCTATTTATTGTCAAAATCTTTGTCGAGGTTAATAAGACAAACTGATTTAGAAAGTTATTTGGCTCCCTTGACATCCTGGCCTCTCTTGACATACATAATGCCAGTATTTCTTTATTTATTAAACAAATTTACATAGCTGTTCACATAGTGACTCCTAGTAGGAATTCCATCATTTTCCATCATTAAAAGTGATTAGACATAATCACATATTTAGGTGTTATTGAAGTAAGAAGTTAAAAAGCTTAAAGAATACAGTATTAAGTTAGTCTTGCATAGTTTTAAAATGAAATTAATTCAAAGATAATTTTTGACTTCCCAGAAAATGTTTTAAACAAGTTGGGTGTCAACTTCAGCAATGTCCTTTGCTGAAATGTAGAATAATTATTTTCTCATGACTTTTCTAATGTCTGTAAGTTGTTAGAACAGACTGGGGAATAGTTCAAAATGTGAATGTCATTTTGAATTAAAAGTTGGAATTTATCATTATATTAAATATTATGGATATATCAAGCATGGATTCTATCAAACATGGATCATATATGGAAAGATAATACTATCCCACATTTATGGTCATGGATTATTGATATATATTAATTTTCTGCTTATGAACTGACATTTTATGAACGCAATGGAAAGATTAGCCAATATGATCAAACTTCAATGCATCTTTTCTCCCTTTTCTATATGATAAAGCAGCAGAAATAAATTATAAACAATCTTCATAGATTCTCAGAATCTGACTTTTCTTTCTCTCATTCAGCCTCCATTGGGGACAGTTAAAGATAAAAAAACTGTCTGAAAACTCATTTTTGCCTAAAGCAAAGGACAGGAGGTGCCATTTTTCTACTCCACACACAGAAACTAACCAGACAGGAATTTGAATCTTCCTTCAGGTGGGACAACTCCTTGGCCATACTTGAAAGAAACAAGCAGGCCATAAGGAATACACCTAATTCCATTTTTTCCCCAAGCTTCATTGTCCTTCTCCAGTCTCCAGTATTTACTTTTATGAGGCAGCTGCCTGGCATATATAGCCAAAGGATATAGCCAAAGCCAAGAAATGCTGGAGCTGTTTTGGCTCTTTTCTTTTTCTCTCTTGTTGTGACATCCAGGGTCATCTGCTTGGGATGATGGCCTCTTTTTCCTCAAAAAGCTTGCCCTACAGCTCTGGTTGACATTGGACAGTTATATAACAGTGATGGCGAACCTTTTAGAGACCGAGTGCCCCAAAACTGGCCCTGCCTCCACTCCATCTCCTGCCCGCCCCCACTCCGCCCCCACCACCCTGCCTGCAGGGCCATTCACTGCCTCCAGATCGCCCAGGCAGCCCAGCAGCGCCATGGTGGCCACGCCCTTGCCCGCACCCCACAGCATCAACTGTGAGTGATGGGGCGTGAGGGCAGAGTCTTGTCTATGCTGCCTAGCTGCCATGTCCTTGGCTGCGCTGCTCATGTGGGCCACACGGGGTGACTCTCCTCCAGGGGAGCTGCTGGTGAGGAGGGGGTCACAGGGGGAGGCAAGGCTGGGGCAATGGCATGTGTGCCCACAGAAAGGACTCCGAGTGTCACCTCTGGCACCCGTGCCATACATTCGCCACCACTGTTATATAATAATATGGCACCGCAGTCATGTTTAAGGACATTTCAAACAAAAGTATCTTGCTTTTTAAAACTTTTTAACATAACCCTGAGACACAGGATAAAAACTGGTACAGCAAATAATATTTGAAAAATGATTTTTCCAGCCTATAAACGTCTTTCCCATGATCAATATATTTCAGGTTCTGAGGCTAAAATCCTCTCTACCACAAGAGGCTGGAAGATGAGTTCAGGACGGTTCTTCAAGGTAGTTTCAAGGAAACAGGATCCCGTCTAGGATCTCTCAAAAGGGCAAAAGGCCATAACCAGCTATTTTAAAATACAGACCTCACATTCCTGATTATTTATTTAGCCACCCATCTTGAATCGTTGCAGGTCCAGGCACTGTACACTGAACAACTCTCCCTGAAAATAATATGGCAAATAAAAAAAAAATCATGCAACATTAAAAAAAAGATGAAATCCACAAACCAGCACAATAACTGCCCAGTTGTATGCTTGACCAATCAGAAAACAGTGCTGACTACTGGTCAGTGTAGCTGGGAATGATGGGACATGCAGTTTAATACATCTGGATGGTACCAGTTTGTGGAAGGCTCCATAGAAAGAATGCCGAAGTTTTCTAGCCATTACATTAATAATTTCATTAATTAAGGGGAAAGTGGATGCTTATGGCACCACTTATGAATTTCATGCACAAGGGACCAAGGTCATTTTTTTATATATATCTTTAGCCAGTCCTGGAAAAAATTATCTTGGAAACATAGATGTCCACAGGGGGGCAAGAGATGAAATGTGCATTGTGATGCTAACTCAAAACTAATGCAATCACCCTTGGCTTTGCAGAATTTGAATCCAAAGAGTTTCTTGCCTATCCCTTTCATGCCTATTCCTCCAAAAAGTAGATTGGACTTATGTGAAGCTTGCAAATTAAGGATATGTTTCTGGTAACAGGAGAAAAAGGATAAAGAAGAGAGCAGCTGGGCCCATTTCTTAATGCAGTCTTCTACCTCATATCCTTTTGAACTCAGTGCAGACATATTTATGTCTATTTGTCCACTGATTCTATATTGTGAAAGTTAGCATGATGTATAAAGCCAGTGCAACTATCAACCAAAATGTTGTTGGCTATACAAATGTGGTCCTTCATTACATTTTCTGCACAAGGAGTTGGCAATTGTGGGATTTTGTATTAAAATGGATTTTATCAGTTGCTATGAAGTATCCATCTATCCCAGCAGTTATAACCATTATAGACTGAGAGAAGAGAGGGACAATGCTTGGTGGTATCTAGGCAGCTGCATTAAGAGTTCAGAACCACCATTTTGAGACTGAGCTTGACTTGTAGATGGCTCATAGTTAGGCCTAGTGTCTCAAATTACTTGTTTCCTTCATATAGATTTTGTTTCATTTTTCATTTTGTCTGCTGATGATTTGGGGAGAAATGAAAAGCTTGCATATAATTTTGTGTCCTTTTGGGTGGTCCTTAAAAAGACATAACCTTGCTCTTGATTTTAATGCCTTTTGCTGGGCAATAAGCTCATTCCAAGGGGTGGCAAATAGAGATCTCTGGAGGTGATTGGGTGACAGGCGACAGTATACAAAAACTCTATGTGATTCTCTTGTCTTTATACTGTTTCTTGGTATATGTGTATTTTTAAAAAGACTAAACATAGCTAGCCATCCATTTCAGCCCATCTGCTTGGTTTTATAACCAATTCCATATTTTCGCACATTTTCACATTTTCTGAGGACCAGAAACTTATAACCAGGAACACCAATACAGTGGGACTTTTAAGAAGCTAGGTTCTGCATGCGCTGCCATATTTAATAACTATCTGTTATATGTACATACGCTCTTGAACAGTAGAAGGGTCTAGTTGGGCTCAAATTCTCCTCCTCTAGTCTGTATAAATGTTGGACCAATTGCAAGCACAGTTCAATTAGGCAAACATCAACAAACATGAATGCTCCTCCTTATACAAAAAGAACTTCTTCTTCTTGTGCCATATCCTTTCTTGAAAGGACATCAGTGATCATGTTGGCGATCCTGTTTTTATCAGCAGCTGCATAAAAAAGTGCTGCTAAGTTTTATCCAAACCAGTTCCTTAGATTTTGAAGCCACAATGTTTTTCTTCTGCCTGGGCCTCTTTTGCCTTCAATCTTTCCCTGGAGGATTGAATGGAGTATGCCGTATTTTTCTGGGTGTCTTATCAAAAGAACTGGTTGTCTCAAACCTCCATCCTTGCTCTCCCATCATTTGACCCATTCCCTTTTTTTGGGGTGTGCCTTTCAAGAAAGGAATAAAGTTTTCACATAAACCCATTTCTCTACTGTAGGTCATTACTCATTCTCTTTACATATCTTGCAGCACACTGAATTTATCTCACCTCTTTGTAAAATGCATGTCAGGCATACCATAGTTGTCTTTTCCAGCCTGGGTTCACAATCAGCCTGAATCATGAGTCTAAAGCTTGTTGACTTGATGCTTTTATTTGGATGACGACTGTGTGTGTGTGGGGGGGGGAGGGGAGGCAGGGGGACATTCGTCTCAAGAAGCTATGATTTATTTGTCCCGCAGAATGTTAGGGCTTTACCTACCCAAAAACATTCTGGGTTCGGGTGTTTGTCGGGGTCCGGGTGCTCACGCGCGCGCGGACTGAGAATTATGCCTCCCGGATGCCTCAGGTTGCCCCCTCTGTTCTCACCATCCCCTCCTACTTCAGCAGGCAATTTCTCCCAGCTAAGGACAAAATTCTACTTGCGCGGCGATGTGTGTGCGTGTCCGTGTGTTTTCCTGTGTGTAGGGGCGGGCACTCTCTCTCTCTCTCTGATGCCAGGCGGGGTTTTCAATCCCCAAAGGAGAGCGGTCGTCCTCAGCGAACGGGGAAACCCACCCTCGCTCAAACGCCCAGTGGCGGAGGGGACGGGAGCGCGCGCGCACGCACACACATACACACACACTTGCACACGCACACGCACACACACACACACACACGCTGGTTCTTCCACTTAGCAGCACACATTTACCTTCCACCCCTCGGGAACCGCAATTTTCTCACTCCCTCCGCCGCGATTTCTCCTAAGCTGCCCAAATGCTGACGGAGGGGACCCGGTAGTGTCCGCCGTCCGCAGACATTCGCACAACGAGTCCAGCCTTGACACGCGTGGTGTAATCACCTGGCAAATTTCCCGCGTGTTGCCCAGGCGTGATGGGGACCCTTGCGGAGGGCTGGGGTCACCGATTTCGGGTTCCGGGAGGCTCTGAAGCCTGCGGTTTCAAGGGATAACAAAAAAAGAGAAGGCGGGAGGAGGGAGGAAAGCCGCAATGCCTGTTGCTTGGACGGGGAGCGTGGCGGATTCTGAAGACGCCCCTTCCACCCATTCGCCTTGTTTCTTCGCCCCTTGGGCTGCAGGTCTCCGGAGGACCGAGGAAATCGGTGGCTGGAGGCAAAAGGCGACAGCAGGTGAGTCCCATCTTCCCTCCGCCCCGCGCGTGTGGAACAGACGAATGGGGCGAGCAAACGGGGCTCTCCGAGGGCCCGCGCTGCCGAAAGCCCGAGACAGTTGCAAAAAGGCGGCGGAGGCGCTAGGCTGCAGTGTGAAAGAGCTGATGCAACTTTCCCGCATCGGTGAAAGTTGCATCTGAGGACAAACTCTTTTTTTTTCTCCATTCCCCCAGCCCCCACCTAGACAGACGTGCACCTGATCTGGTATTTACTCAGAAGCAAGGCAGCCCCTCGGACACTATTCCCTGGGAGCCGCTTACTTCCGAGGAAATGCGTGGAAAATCGCACATCTTTGATCGCTGGGAATCCTGCAGAGGAGCAATCGCGGGGCAATGGAGTCGCGCCGTAATTCGAGACAGCTCTGGCTACTCAGACGGAACCCCCCCCCCTCGTGGGCCTTGTGGCTGGTTCAGCCAGCCCAAGATCGCAGCCTCGGCGATCTTTAGAAAGGAGTGGGAAGCTCCGAGGGGGAAGACTTTCGAAGGGCCACGGTGCCTGGATTTTCCGGAGGGGGCGGGAAAGGGGTGTGTGATTTTTCGACCTTCCTTCAGTACCCAGGTAAGACAACCAGCTGCGGAACGGAATCCTGAGCAGGCTTCATGTTTCCGCCTTTCGTTCTACTACTCCCTTTTGCTTTGGTTTCCTTATCTGAACTTCTAGGAACGACGTAGCGTATTGTGCTATTGTCAACTAAAGCTGGGGAATCTCCTACACTGAGCGAACGGCGAGTGTGCGCGTGTGTGCCTACACGGTCTCTGTTAGGAAGAGACCCGCTCGGGTGCCTCCTTGTGGCTACCTTCCATATAAAATCTTTGATTTTTAACCTTAATTTGAAGAAGAGCGGGTGGGGAAAGAAAATGAAGATTTTGATCGTGAGAAAGCTAATTTGCGCCTTCATTCGCAATGGAAATCATTGTCGCAACAGGATTTAAATCAGTGATTTTTCACGGTGGGTTAAGAGTTTTCAACCACCCTCTGGGTTTTTTTTTGTTTTTGTTTTGAGAAAAATGTTTAACATAGCTTTTCCACACTCTGGCAAGTTTTGCTTATATTTAAAAAGAAAATAATGAGATTGTGAGCTATTTCATAACAGCATGCTAGAGATTGGCCAGTTGTAACCATTTCTCCTAGCTCTTCATCAAAGTGTCAGGAATATGCATGAACGTATAGACACCACACACACACACACACACACACATATCTTCTAAAATAATTAGACTGAATGGGGTAGCAAGAATAAAGTATAGTAACCCGAAATGCTACACCATTCTTTAAAATGAAACATAACATGCTTTTCTTTCCTTCAAGTTTGATTCTCATTTTAGTGTAGCCTTCTCTAATGATTCTTCCCTTCCCAGATGTGTGGAGCCACATCTCCCATCATCCACATTCTGCAATCCATAATGCTGGAGGTAGAGGTGATAGTCCCACATGCGATGCAAGATTGAAGAGAAATGATGCCTTTGTAAATCACATGGCGCAAACCTGATTCTATTTTTTTTCCATGCAGGTGTGCCAGACTTTCTCCATACATATGCACATACAACATTAGCTTGCTGCCCCAGAAGATGAGCCATTCTAATACTCATTCATCTATTCTATTTAGGAACAATATTACTTTAGATTTTTTTTAAGAAAAAGACCTCCTTATTTTATTGCAGAGGACTTCCTTTCTGCAGATTAGAAGAAAGATGACATCAGAACAGCAGCACCATCAAAAATTAGAAAAGGGGTGTGTAAGTGATGGTTTTGCTCTGCTACACCAAAATCTGCAGTTAGATGTGTTCTGAAGTTAGGCTTAAAAAACAACAAGCAAAATAAATCAGTAGAGGTATGCATGCTGCACTCTAGAAGTCTGGACATGTCATAGGACAAGCACTCCACTGTGCACAATGGCTACTTTGTGTAAAAAAAGCATCCCTTGGATCAGCTTCTTGACAACACTTGCAGAAATAAGGTTTTGCATATCATGTATATTAAGCAAAGCTCATGTTGCTGCTCACGGGCTTATTAAAAGCTAGCTCAGACAGTAAGAATTTAGGGAAATTAGAACAAGAGTGTCAAACTCGCAATGTCACATAACGTGTCGCGACGTATCACAACTTTTTTGCCATTGCTGGCAATAGGGTGGATGCGATTTCGTTATGATGCATCTGGCCTGCGGGCTGGCAGTTTGACACTCCTGATCTAGAAGGCAAATGATTGAGAAAGAATGGGAATTATTTCTGAATGGGGTTGCTTTTACTGTCATCACTTTGTTAAATCATCAATTCAGATATATCTTAGATGGAATCCTAGAAAAAACTTGGACAAGGTTTTGACAGTGAAAGGACATTAATGTAGCAGGCAAAGCTTTCTTGGGAAAGAATTACACATAAATTCCAGCTTTAAAGGACCTTGTCTTGTCAGACCCACTATACTTTTGGAAAGAGAATGGCTTCCTATTATTTAGAGAATGGCCTCATATTATTTGAGCAGGACCACATAAGAAAAGATGGTCCTATAAACATCAGGATTCTGGTCAGCTCATGTGATTTAGACTCATGAGCAGTTGAAATTATATGCATTCCAATGATCACTTTACCTCAGGGGTATCAAAGTCGCAACGTCACATGATATGTCGCGACATATCGCAACTTTTTTTCTATTGCTGGCAATGGGTTGGGCGTGGTTTTGCCATGACGCATCTGGCCTGCAGGCTGGCAGTTTGACATCCCTGCTCTACTTTGTGCCCATAATTTTCAGACTTCTGATTCGGTGTCTTCAAAATGTTATGGTGCACTCATCATTCCTAGAGGCCCAGACTGAGGGACAATCTTTGAGTCCCGATATGTCTCAGTATACAGACATTCATCTCCTTCATTTCTTTTCCCTCTTCCTCTCAGTGGAAGGAAATTTAAGCAGAATTCTGAGAGAAAGGAATGAAGCAATACAATTGCTCCTCCTGTAAACTCAGCGTGCACATTGAGATTTCACAAGATGAAAAGTCAAGAACTGTTGTATATCTACTATTACGAAATACCTACTGCCTTTAGTAGGTCTAAAGTACTAATCTCTTCCCTTGTGTCTCCAAGAAGAAAGTGGAGTGAGGCATAGTATCATTGACATTATCATCATTACGATAGATGATAGTGTTACTGAGGACACTTCACATGCTGGCATGAAGTAGAACATCAGTAGCTATTTGGATACTTCTGCCATTCTCATTACCTGCTGCTTTTCCCTTTGCATACATAGTATTCTGTCTTAGTAGTTTCGTATTACTCAGTTAGGATGCTTGCTAGATTTATATATGTTCTGACTCTACTGCTGCTATCTTCAGGGATTCTGGGCTCCAGCCTTCTCAGTGATGACCTTCCTCCTTTCGGACAGCTTATCCCTGCATATCTGGACCATCCCCTCCTACCTGTAAAAACATGGCTCTTCAGGAAGGCATTTGGAGATGAGTAAGATCATGCTACCCCCAATATGATGGCACATTGGATAGATTGATTATAATTGTATTTATTGCATTTTGCACTTAATCTTATTCTTTTGATATGGAAAGCCACTCCATGTCTCTGGACATGCAGTGGCTTACCATTTGTTGCAATAAACATTATAAATAAACCTAGGGACCTAATAACAGAGCCACTGATGTTTGTCTTGAATCCCAGAAAAATAAACCTATTTTACCTGAATGTCTGTTCACCTGACTCTACAAAATGTAAATTAAAACCTAAAAATATGGCAGCCACACTAGTACTTGTTTGTGGCTCACCTTTGAATAGGTACATATAAGCAATTAGCTGATTTTCTGCCTTCCTAATGTTTGTGGCACACTAAGGCTCTGAAATGCTTAAAAAATGGGCCAATTCCAGATCTGAACTCTCTCATTTAAGTAGTATTACCTGATAAGATGAAAGCCATTCTGACTCATCAGTGTTGGTCAGACAAAGGCTATCAATTACAAGCTGCAAAATGCAAATGATCCCGAAAGGACAGCCAAGGGGTTATATAGTAAGCCCTTGGTCATCAGGAGTTCAGTAGCTCAGATCTGGTAGGCTTGGTTACTAGAAGTTTTTCTACTGTTCCCATTTATGCATTTGTCTAAAAGCAAAGGGCCAGGCTAACACACTTTCTATTGCAGCTGAAATGTTGCTTTTTTTTTTAATGAATTTAATGAAGATTTCTCATTTGGCCAATAGTCTTCCATCAAAATGAATAGAATCCACAGAAGTGTTTCTTAACCTGAGCAATTTTGTGTGGCCTTCAACTCCCAGAATTCTCCAAGCAGCATGCTGACTTGGGAATTCTGGGAGCTGAAATCCACCCAACTGAAAATTGCTGCAGTTGAGAAACACTGATCCACAAAATACTCTCCGTTTCTCCTTTAACACTGGCAGCCACTCTAGTTTCCACTTCAAGTCTAGCTCCTGCGCTCTTCATTACAAGGCTGTGCTTACCCACTCAAGCTCCAACTTGCTCCATTACTTTGTCAGTAGCTTCAGTTCCTCAGACTGAATTATATCATAGCTCTTCTGCAAATGGTTGCCCTGACTGGCTAAGGTCTCTTTAGCTACTGTCTTGAAAACAAGGAAGTGCAGTATACTTTACGTGTGAAAGCGACAATTTCCTAGACTTAAAGTCCCTTAATGTATATTAATTTCGAAGGGGCTTGCTCCAAGTCTCCTTGGTAACCAGAGTGGTTAATTGGCTAGTCTATCATAGGCAGGGATTTCCTCATCATTCAGTCCATCATTTATAAAGGCTAAAATTGAATCCCTTTCATTGTTTAATGGGATTGCCTTTTTGGCAAAAATTCCATTTTCCTGAAAGGGAGGAAAGACCCAAACAACTTTGCTTCACTACTTTGATGGAATTCTAGACTCTGACCTTTTATAGTTCTGCTGCAAGACCTTTTTTTTGGGGGGGGGGAAGTCTACAGGACCTCTCCCTCTCTGGCTTTCTGGAATGGGAAAAGGTCCATTGAGTAGATCTGTAAAAGCCATTTAAGCTGTTCCATTGATTGCATAATATTCATTAAAAAAAGTACAGTATCTGCCATAACATTTTGCTTCCTGACTATGTTGTACACACATTTTTTCCTTCCTTTTTTTAAAAGAAAAGTTACAAATATTCTAAGCATCCTTAGAGGTGAAAATATAAAGATGTACAAGAAGAAGTTAGTATTCAGTGAGGTGCATTGAGAGTGAGCTTTAGCCACTAATTCCTGATTACAAAGAAAATATGCAGCATTAACCCTTAAGTCTAATTTAGTTGGTTTTGGTGCAATATATGGAAACAAATGCAGGTAGTCTTCAACTTATAATAGTTCATTTAACGACTGTTTGAAGTTACAATACCATTGAAAAAAGTGACTTGTAACTGTTGTTCATATTTATGATCTTGGCAGCATCCCCACGTTCCCGGGATCAATATTCAGATGCTTGGCAATTGGTTCATATGTATTATGGTTGCCAATGTTCCCGGGGGTCAAGTGATCCCCTTTTGCGACCTTCTGACAAAGTCAATGGGGAATCCAGATTCACTTAACAACTGTGTCACTAACTTAACAGCTGAAGTGATTCACTCAATAAATGTGGCAAGAAAAGTAACGAAGTGGGGTAAAGGTCACTTAACAAATGTCTCACTTAGTAGCAGAAATTTTGGGCTCAATTGTGGTCAGAAATCGGGGACTATCTGTATGGTAGTTGATAAATCATACTTTCATTTCTTTATATGATGCAAAAATATAAATCAAAATATGTGGCATATTCAACTAACTATATAACCAGGCATGGCTTAGCATGGTATATGCATCAAGTACAGTGGTACCTTGGTACTCAACTGCACTGAAACTCATCAAATTTGGTACTCAATACATTCTGATTTGAAAATTTTGACCCGGTACTCATCATTTATTTGGTACTCAATGCACAAGCTAGAACCTATTGGTGTTGGCTGCCTTGTGACTCACTACATTATTCCTTTTGGGAAAAATGTGTTTGGTACTTATTGTTTTTGGTACTCATTGTGCCTCCTAGAACCAGTTAACAATGAGCCCCAATGTACCACTGTATTAGAGAATTCAACCAGATATACAAGATTTCCCCTTTTAAATCTTCCCTTTCCAAGGCCAAAACTTCTGGCAATTTAGGATGAAGTTGGATCAGTAGATATTACTTTCCACATTTAAAAAAAAAAAAAAAAAAGGGGGGGGGGAGAAAACAACTTCTGAGATGGATATGGTGATTTTTTCTGTTTATTATATTTATTATTTTATTTACTTGCTAATCATAAAAAATATTTTGAATGATGCTCAAATGACATTTCAATCTGATTTACAGTTGTGTGTCAGAGATTGTTTTGGACATATTAATGAATGATTCATATTCAGAACTGGACAGCAAACGCCTGTTTCTGTTGGTTCTGCTGTTCCATCTTATTTCTAGGCAATTTAACATACAGGTGAAACCACTTGGAGAGTTTGCAAGCCATTCATATGGTGATGATACCCAGTTATCTTTCTCTTTCCCACTGAAATCCAGTAAATCCAGTAAAGTTGTTCCAACTTCTGAACTGAGACCTGGTGTTTATAATAGCTCAAAAGAGGGTAAACACATTAAAGCTTAATTCAGACAAGAGAGATGCTCTTGGTTACTTGATAGGCAGTGACATTTCCGTGCAGGACAAAGGTTGAAACTGCTACATGGGTATATTTCACAAACAGCTTATTTGATGCCAATGGAACTGGGTCTACCTCTTAGCAGGTTTCCTTTTTCTGCTAATGGTTGCCTTCCCCAACTCAACCCCAACTCATCTGATTGGGTTTCTTTTCCCTTTCAGAATTTATTTTGGAATTTATAACATATAGAATGAATCACCTAAACTTTTCAAGTCTATATGTACCTCTCTTACAGTTTTTTTTTTCAAACTACAGTCTTTCTTGTTCACATATAATTGGATTGTGTTACTTGGAGGGAGGGAGCCTTATCCCTTATTTCTTTGTTTAAGGTATGTCAGAATGGGACAAGGAAGATACTCAGAAGCAATGGTCTAATCATTTTTTTCTTGTATAATATATCATCTGTAAGCTCCCCAAATAAAGGATGTGTCTTTCCAATAGATCCATCAATTTTAAATACAAAACCTACTCCATAAGTAGTGCATACAGACATCTTCCTCATATCTGTACAGACTATCCAGGCTCTTGTGCAACTGATTTTTAAAAATATTATTTTACTTAAATAGAAGTTAAATGGGAATCGGACATGTTGCAAAGCAGAGTAGCAGGTTTCAACCTCATTTTATTTTCAAGATTTCTTTTTAAATAAAAGTCACAGGTGACTGCCACCTGCTCAGAAAAAAAGAATAGTCCTAAATTGTAATAATAAACATTCTGTAGGACCAGAGATGATGGTGCAAAATATAACCTTCTGTTTTGGGACTGATGTGATTCATCATGGCAACCAGTTTGTGAAGTGTACCCATGTCAGATCTTTGAAAAAATAATTGTTCACAAAATGCTTTCAGTTCCAAATTTGTTTCTCTCTAACCTGTTAAAAGTCTTCTGCTTCCTCTCAGAATGATACTTTTGAGTATGCCGAGTGGGGTGCTGATAACAGTCCCTTGTACCCAACTGGAAAGTGGAGTGGATAACTGAAGTGCCCAGACAAAATATGTTCTGGATGTCATAGAGAAAATCTTTGTACCATAGTGGATGTGCAATGCTTTACATCCTGGTCGTTACCACAATGGATTCATGTTGCAGTTACATTGTGCTAATCATTGGCTGTTCTAACAGGCTGCCTACACTATGCTTTCTTCAAGCCAGCTAATTCTTCTGTCAAAAAGAATTGAGATCTCTACTCTGGAGCCTGAACAACAGTTAATGGCTGATTTGGGTCATGCTCTCAATTCTTGGTCTAGTCACCTGAGCTGATGTAGGTTTCATCTGCACCTGGGACAGAATTTGTCATCTGCTTGGTGGTAGAATTCAATACTCTGGTGTGGAATTTAGTAGTCAGTGATCTTGCGAGAAGCTTGCATTTTATAATATGGCATTGTTAATAGAATTATAGTCTCATTCTATCTATCTGCCTGCCTGCCTGCCTGCCTACCAACCTCTGTCATCTCCCATCTTTTTAATAGGAGTTGGCATGCATAGTGTTCTCTCCTTTTGTTATTCCCCACAACAGCAACCCTTTGAGGTAGGTTGGGCTGGGAGAAAGTGATGGGCCCAAAATCATCCAGTGAACCTCCATGGGCTAAATGTGGATAAGAACAAGGAGAACCTCTTAATATGTATATGGGAACTTCACAGGTTCTCAAGTAAGTTGGAAAATGTGCATTAGTTATATTAAAAAAATAAGTAGTTACATATCTGCATCTATAGTTGCTTTGGGTGTGTTTTGCTGAAAAAGTGTAACGCAGATAAATTGTCTGTAAATTAACAGAGTACATGGGGGTGCCTCCCATGCACTTGCACATATATTTTATTTATCTTACTTACTGAGTGCACGTTACACTATTTCATGCTGTTCAATGACTGGGACAGTGCTCTTTACTATCTTAGTCCTGTCCCACAAGACCTTAGTCCTTTCCCATCAAAGTCCTAAGTTTTCCTAAAACATCATGTGTCTTTCAAACTAGGAACAGCCAATCTCCCTGATTAGAATACTTTAGAATGTGAACCCATGTTTCAAATTGTAGTTAAGATTTCTGCTAATAAAAAAATAGCAATTGGGTTCATATAACAGGTTCAATCTTGGGTAAGCCTTGATTAAAGGGGCATATGGAATGGGATGAATGTGCCTGATCACAGCTCCAGCTACCCAATTAATTATGGGAGGTGACTTAGCCTTTTTATGAATGTAATGAGATACACTCCAATTGGTGGGAAATATTTTCCACTCTTGCAGTTCAGCTTTGTCCAATGTGAATCAATTCTGCATTAATATAGACAATATACCCAGACCACGTACCTTTTGTTTGGTTAGTGGAAATTCTAAAGTGTTGGTTCATACCTAGCTTTCCCCCGCCTGTTCTGTCTTTCACAGATAGCACTCCCTAAGTCATATTCTCCAAGACTTCCTAAGAAACAGAGAAAGTACTGGAAGGAACAGATGACAGAGTGGATACACTATTACCGGGTGCCCCAATATGCCTTTTCTGGACTGGTTCCTCTACCACTCAGTTGCCATGTGGCTCCTCCTCCAGAGTTTTGTTCTGATGGCCTTTTGTTTCCACTCAGCCACCACTTTTCCCAAGGGGTGTTACCCCTCCACTGAAGATGGCTTCAAAACTTTCCGCTGCAGTAAAGCTCAACTTATAGTTATCCCAAAAGATATACCAAATGATACCAACAAGTTATACTTGGATTATAACCAGATTTCTTTCCTGCCCAATGACGCCTTCCAACATTTGCCACTTCTAGTAGAACTAGACTTGTCCCACAATGTCATAAGTCGCATGGAAGTTGGAGTCTTTAAGGGCTTGTCAGAGAACCTGCATTCACTGGACTTGTCTTCTAACAAGCTAGTGTCAGTCAATAAAGATGTCTTCAGTTCACTAAAAGCCAAAGCCAACTTGTCCAACAATCCTTGGCTCTGTGACTGCACACTCCAGCAGCTCATTGAGAGAGTAGAGCTGGTGGCTGGTACCTCTGATGGGATTGTGTGTGATGCCTCTGCACGGAAAGAGCATATTGGCAAGCCTTTTCTGCAGTTGATTGGAGACATAGATTTCTGCAACATCTATAAAAAGACCACAGACATCGCCATGTTGGTCACCATGTTCGGCTGGTTCGCCATGGTGATCTCATATTTAATCTACTATGTCCGGCAGAATCAAGAGGATGCCCGGCGACACTTAGAGTATCTCAAGTCCTTGCCCAGTAAGCAGAAGAAGTCAGAAGAGTCATCTACAATTAGCACTGTAGTGTGACCAAAATGAATAACCCTTTCACCCTTACAAATCCCCAGAAAACCATTGTCCATTGGAGTAGATAGGTTTTACATCTACTTCTGGTAGATCTTGTCTGCTAGATGCTTGAATGCACAAAGGCTGAAGAGACTGTTATTAAACAAAGAATGAAATTTTTAAAAGACTTAAGGAGGTAAGGCCTTGCTTATATAAAAGGCCTCTCTTTCATTCCTGAGCAATGAAAAAACACAAGTAATCATAAATCATAGCCATGGTTGAATTCATTGGCACAATCAATGTATGGAATAGTGCCATGTTATGTATCGGTTATTTCTCAGTCCTGCAATAGAGGCACCATCACAGTCAGACTTTGCAACACCTCCTAGCTCTCAACTTGTACTAGTCCATGGAGGAAGTTCTCATCCTATAATGTTCCAAGGATGCCAAGAATTGGAAGTGAGATGATTGTTGTTTTCTTTTGTTGTCACAAGGATTTTGCTGCAGCCCCAAATTAGTGGAGTCAAGAGTAAACTTCCCCAGCCTGGCTCCCATTAATTGTGTTGGGCTTTTAGGAGTTGTCCTATGCAATTCTAGGTTTTGGGAAGGCAGAATAATAATAATAATTAAGTACTAGAAGACATGCAAGCCTGTTATTCATGTGCAAATTATCCCAAATTCATATTCTTTTCTTTGAACACACACGTTGATAATCACTGCTGAGTTCTCTCTCCAATGCTTCACATCAAAAACTTTTTTATTTTTTTAAATATATTTTACTGATTTTACAATCACAATCCCTAGTGCCTAGTGACCAGCTGTTGTCTTGGTTCATATATTAAAAAATCAGTAATAACTAACAGTCAATAATGATTAATTTTATAATTCCATAATTAGTGTATTAATTAGTAGTATATTTCTTTGATCTTCCCTTATTCCGATAGTATTCTTCTTCATCAACAGAATAATTCTTAATATTTTCAATGCATAAATGATTAAATATAGGCATTTTTTCATGTTTGAACAAATAATAATGTCCATATATGACATTTTTTCTAATCAACTTGTATTTATATATAACCCTTATTAGTTCATCATGCATCCTATTTTCATAATTCTTATTTATGCTTAGTTTCCCCTTAATATTCAAACCATTTTTATCAGTCATAATTTTCTCAATACTGATTATCTAAATATCCAAACTTTCCATTTACATATACCATCCCAATATTTTCATATTTCATGTGTTATAATATCTATATATAACATCTTTTTTGATCGGCTTATATTTCACTTATATTTGTAAAAGTTATCTTGTTAAGTCACTATATATCCTGTTTTCAAAAATTTTGTTTAAGCTTAATTTCCCCTCAGTATTTTGGTCATTCCTCAGTCCTAGTTCTCTTCAAATTAATTACTTTAAAATTTTAAACTTTTCATTTACATATATCATCCCAATATTTTTACATTTCATATATTGTAAAAAATACTATACTAGTTATATCTCTTATCCCTCTTAGTACAGAGCCCCTTTATATCCAAAATTATTGGTTCTTTTAACCATATTCAAACAGGTTTTTGTTCATGTAGTATTCCATCTGGTTAAAATTTTTTAAAAACAAATATTTTTCTTATTTGCAGGAATCTATTAGTACATTAAGTAAAAAGGGAGGGATAGAAAGAAGGGTCAATGTTCTGAAGTTTTAAGCCATTACCATTTTTACTGCTCTTGTAAGATTCTTATGGGGCCTGTTTAGAAATGGAAAATTCCAACTGAAATGTTGCAGCAAAAATTCAGAAAAGGACACAAAGAAAACATTCATAATCACCTTGATTCGAAGAAAGCAGGAACAGCAGAAGCTGCAGGCAAGGCATCTGCTTCTGCAGCCAGATCAGCTAGCTATAAAGGTATGTACACAGCTACTTTGTGTGTAGGGGAAGAGGTAGTACATGATTTCACCTGCTTCAAAATTTCTCTATTCAGCACATGGTTTGGTGAAGTCTTGTCCTAGGTAAGCAGCCTTTTCTGCAGCTGTGTGTTATAAAAAAATGGTATCTGCTGTGCTGTGACTTCACTTGATCAGTGTGTGATTATGCTTTTCACTCATTTTCTTTCTAGTTACAAATAGTTGCATTATGACACCAGGGATACAGGACTTCAAAAAGCCTAACAGTTGAGAGCTTTGATCATTCTGATGAAATAACTTAGACAAATAATAATTATTACACAGAAATCATCAGCCAATAGCCAACATTATTTAGCAGGGCACATATAAGCAACGTATGTCACATGACCAAGAAATGTATAGCAGTTGTCATTTTTTTTCTTTTCTCAAGGGGAACACTGCACACTTTCTTTGGCTAAACTCTCTGGACTTAAAAAAAGTGGAAATTCAAACATGTCAATAGTTTTTAAAATGGGTCATTTTTTTAAATATACAGTAATCTGTAGCAATAGCTGGATATCCATTTTGCTGGAATGCTTCACTTCTACTCATGAATATGGACTTACGGATCACTTATATAAATATTTGGATAAGTAGTCAAACATGAACTGCAAGATACATCTACACTATATGTAAGGTATAGAATAGAATAATGAGGGTTGTGTTCTTCGATACCTTTTAAAAAAAACAGTTCTAGAATCAAATTCGAAAATAACTTAGTGGGTTTCCAAAAGAGCATTGCTTTCTTTTCATTTGTCAGAACCAGAAATATGAATCTGTAAAACAGAGGAAAAGAGGGGGAAGCCATTCACATCTTGCATTTTGTTATTTTTTCCCTCCTAGAAATGGTCTGCTTGTGTGAATAAGAAACCAACAATGGAGCAATGATATAAAAAAATGTTTTTATAACAGCTTTCCTCAAGCCAGCATTTTCTGGACGTGTCAGATCCAACCCCCAGCAGTCTCAATATGTAGCAGGATTGGGGATATTAAGAAATGCAGTCTTACATACTTGGTGCTTGCCAGGACTGTGGCTCATACTGGGACTCTAATACAGTTGTGATGAAATTCATCCTCCATGGTCAGCATTGTTAAAATAGGGCCACTAGCAGTATTGCTGGCCCTTGAAGCCTATCTATTCTTCCTACTATTTTCATGAATGTAAGCCAGATATTCTCAGATCTCAGCTGTGATAACTTCCATATCTCCAGTTATTTGAAATGTGGTGGGAATTGACATGGTTGAGATCCCCACATTGTGCTACTTCCATATGGTAAGTAGATTCTTTATGGGAAACAAAATTACCCTAACACTTGCAATGGCTCCAGCTAAGACATAATGTCAGTAGAAAATGTAATCAAATCTGATGCCTCCTGCTACCCAGTTTTGCATCACCTTTATATATACCAATGTGCCATTTTGAAGGGTTGCTTTGTCAAGACTTCCCCAAATACTGGAAGAAGGAGGACTTTAGGGAAGTATGCTAGGTTTGGGAGACTGTTTTTATTTACTCTGGATATTGAGGTTCTTATTATTGGAGATGGAGCCGTAGGCAACAAAACCATCTGTGTGGCATATCATTCAAAACTGCCATTATGACCTGGAGGTCCACCTGTATTCCTCATGTGCCTACCTGGTTTGTACTTGAGGGAATTCTGCCCTGCCAGGTTACTAGACCATCTTACACTCTGCTCTGGCCCATGAGGGTAAGAGGTAGAGATTGCATCGACCTGCCATACTCTCAAGTGCCCTTTATTGAGAGGTTGCCTCCTCAAGAGCTTTATGGTCTGGTTTTTCAGGGCAGAGCTTTTTGTGGGTGGACATTTTTTTTTTTGCAAGTCCTACCTACTTTGTAACAAAATTCTTCCCTTGATTTTCAAGAGGTTCTGTCTTGTTTCCTTACCAATAAAAGCCAAAACGCCTTCATTGGAAAAAAGAGACTGTGCTGCTGTTGTGTACCATCAAACAGAAGGGGCACTGGTCACCAGATGTTTGTGTGAGGATCCAGATGAGAGCTGACCTGCTACTGTGACCAAATATTGAGGAAACGCAGGTTGAGAAGAATGTACACACTCTCTTTCTCCGTTGATAAGCAGCCTTACGCCTTGAGCTTTTCAAACTTAGTACCTCTTCTCTACATTCCCAGTATGCAGTTGGACTCCTCTAATGGGATGCTGGTAGTTTACAACGACCTGCGCACAAAGAAAACCTTAACAAATGAGAATGCTCACTGAAAACCTTTACACATGCACAAAATGGAGAAAACAAAGAAGTTATGTAATAATCAAAATATTTCCTGTTTCCCTTCCCCAACAATGTTACTTATTTAATTTTCTTTTCCCATGAAAAAAGATAAATAAACAATAATTAAGCAGGATGTATTGGATGGTGCCATGATGTTCTTGTGTCTCTGGAAAGAGGTCCTTGTTTTCACACTTCTGAACTGATCAGGGGTGGGTTTCTGCAGTGGGCAAATAGATTGATAGATGATAGATGGATGGATGGATAGATATAGATTTTGTAGTGCTCTTAGATATAACCACATATCAAATAAAAATGCTACTAAATATTAATATAAATGTCTCTTGTTTTTGCTATAAAATTAACTTAGTTCTGAATCTGAGAATCTAACATGCTGTTGGAAATGCTGAATGCTTCCAAAACTTTTGCAAAGAGAAGTGCATGCTAATTTGCTAAATTGGAAAATCAATTACTATTGTGTTGGCGTTGTGAAATTGATTAAGTTACTATGAATTGTTCAAATTATTGGTTCCCCAAAAATCAGCTTAGAAAATTGGCTAAAATACATGGTGGATGAGGCTGGTAAGAGGAAAGAGATCTTGGTCTTTGTTTCCACTAAAGAACTGGTAAACAGGAAAGGATTCATATTTTTTTTTTAAAAAAAAAAACACCATGAATTGTTGAGTAATGAAAGAAAGATGGTGTAAAGCTCCACACTTTCCAGAAAGAAAATGAAAGAACACTCTATAACATAGATGACAGCAACACCTGAAGTTTAAAATGCATAGCCCTCTTGGCACTTCTTATTTCTCCTATGGTTATAAATTATATGCTTGTACTCAATTACTAGATATCATAATCATCATATTTTCATATGTGTGCAAAATACCAGTTGCATTTTGGAAAACTGCTGCCATTGCTAACATTCCACATACAATAGCATAGACTTTGACAGAGGCTCAGATTCTACTTGGTATTATCCTAGTATCATCAAACAACAAAATTAATTTGCTACAAAAAAACACAACGATCTTCAACGGCCTCTTTCTGGAGATGCTGCCTTAGGATTGGGATAGGACATGCCTGCTAATTCAACTTCTTCTGGAGATGTTCAGGACTAGGATAGGATTCATTCATGGAGCTTGCTTATCCTCTTTCTGAATAGTGCAGGAGATGGGTGGTTTTAGTTAACTAGTTGTAACTGAATAATTTTGGACCTGAACCTTAATAATCACAGCTCCTGTGGCCTCATAACTGTCTTGTGCAGAAATGAGAATCCAGTCAGGGTAAAAGTACCTAAGACATACCTTGCATTTAGCTAGGCCTTAAAGATGCATGACTGATTAGATCCTCAATTTTAGAAGTAGTCAGGCAAGATTAACTACTTTACTGAGACCCTTTTTGGATAAAAATACATATAGCTGAGTTCTAATTGTTGGTGGGTCTGCAAAGATATTTTTATTCTTCTGAGTTATTAAATGCCTCCCCGGCTCCATTTTATAGTGTTCAAGGTTTAGAAACAAAACATTACTACCCTACTTTCAGTCAAGAATGTGTAATACTATCTTATCCTTGAATGAATAAAACAAGCCTTTGGGGATTTGTGAATAGGAGAACAAGGTCATTATCAGGACCTTTGTGATAAGGTTACCATCTTCTTCCTCATTTCTTGGGCATGAGCCTGCAGAATTCCCAGTGAACACAGTGCAAATCATGCTGGCTTGAAAATCTGAGAATTACAATTTCAACATATTTGGAGTGCAACAAGCCCAGGAAAGGAATATTATTTCTTGGCTATCAGATTAATTTATTGCTATCAATGCAATAAATGGGTCAAATGTATAAGAATTTAGAAAAAAAGCTTTATTTTAATTATTACTTTGCCAGGAATTGGTTGCACAATCTATCTTTCTTAAGAGTTTGAAAATTATTTTCCAAAACAAACTGATGTGGAAATGAATGGAATTTGTAGTCTATATTTTTGAGACAACCAAGGTGTGTCTTCCAGGATTAGTTTGCCTTTAAAAACCCAGTATAGTTATAGCAGTGAGAAATCTTTGCACTTCCTTTGTCTAACTCTTCTTGGAATTTATTCAAGTATCTTCTCAATCATGTGAAGGCAAATATCCTCTGGACCAAGAGACTGGAACCAAAGTGATATTTTGAAATCTGAAGGAGACCTGCCTGCCTGTTTATTAATTGATTATTGCTATGTTTTCTCCATGATGTTTTCTCCACTAAGTTTCATGTCTTACAAGGGTGTATCCAGTGGTGGGATTCAAATATGGTTCTTTGTGTGGATGCCACTTCCAGAAGTCCATTCTGGGCCTGGGCAACAAAAAATTAGCTATCGGTTCTGCCAAAGTGGTGTGAATCAGCTGAACCCCACCACTGGGTGTATCCAACTGTCTTCTGCTGGTCTTCCTGCTCTCTTTCCCTCCATTTTTCCTAACATTAAAGCCTTTTCACATATTGTGTCTGAAATAGGATAATTTGATTATTTGTGTCAAGAGTTCATGAGTTAGAACTCTGGGTTGACCCAATAGAGAACTTTGGTTGATTTGTTTCATAATCTGTTTGCTTGTTTTCTTGGCTCTCCATAGTATTCTCAGGAGTCATCTCTGACACCAAATTCAAAAAACATCAGTACCCTTTCTATTTGCTTGTTATACTGTATATTTTTTTAAAAAAAACCACAGCCCTTCTTTGAAGAATGAATGATTCATACAGGAGGGGAAACATCAGTTGACGCTCTATAAGAATTGGGCTGTTGTAATAAGAGAAATTTGTGAACCAAATTGTTACACAACAATCTTCATTTGAACTGGGCAGACTCAAAGCAAGTTAAACTGTATTTAACTGTTCTAAGGATTATTTAAGGTCAACCAGAGCCATAGGTATCTATCTTTTTATTAGGCTGCTTTGAAAAATATTAGGTTTAAAGCCTTGGGCATTGAAGTTTTGGGGAATATACTTCTCACTGCTGGAATGGAAATAACTATTCCCATAATTTCCTCATAAATGAAGGATAATTGGGTAGCTGAACAGAAGTAAAAAAACAATTACTTCAACTTTTTTGTCAAGAATATAAATGTTTATTAGGAAAGACAAGCTTGTATTGAGTGTTTTGGCATTAATTAGCCCTACCTAGCTTTGTCCCTTCAAGATACTGGCTGCAGGTAAAAAGATTTTAGCCCATATATTTGAAAGCAACTAGGATGGGCTGTCAGAAGCTAGATTCGTAGACAAATATTGATCATGTAATTAATATGTCTATATTACTGAAAAATCCTGAAACTGTAAGTGTAAAAAAATATAAAACCAAGAAAACAGAAAAAAAGCAAAAGACTCTTAAAAATACAGATATTAGGAAGAGCTAATAGCTGATGGAAGGCCAATATAAGAGATTGGGTTGTACAAATACTGTACATAAAATGAATCAGCATTGGTGTCTGCCTTATCACCAAGGGTGATATGATGAATCAAATGTATAATATATTACATGGTTCCCACAATGCACAAAACTAATAATTATTGTTTAGGGTTATATTTAAGCAGACCATTAAATTATTGTATAGATCTTGGTTTCATCGAATCTTAGCAGTGCATTATAAGTGAACAATGGGATATATTTATATCCTATTTTACAATTATTCTATAATGACTGTTGCAGGATTCTTTAATACATTGATAGATACTGGCTGCAGTCGTGGCTGATTTAAGGCTGACATCAGATACCTTCAGAGAAATGTTTTTTCCCCCAGAAACAGGCAGCATTGCTCTGAAAAGAGGTTCTGTTTAATACAATAAAAATTCAATGAAGGGTGTTTTTTTTTTTTTTAAAATAGAAAATTATAACAACACTGTATCTGACAAATCCATCTCCGGTAGAGGACTAATCATAACAATTCCTGCTTGGATCATTCTGTATCTCAACATTGTACAATGTGGGGAACCTTCCAGGTATTTGCAACTTCAACTCCCAGTATCCCCCAATCACCATGGCCACTTCTGAGAATTCTGAGTGTTAGTCCACACATCTGGAGAACATTCAGACAGAAGAAGTCACCTGTTCATGACATTCTCTTGACAATATCAGCCATTTCATGAAGGATCTCTATTTTTCTAAGGATATAGTATTGACTTTGATGGCTGTCACTATAAAACAAGTACGCCACTTTTATGAATACATGAATTTGCTGATTTTCTTCCTTCCATCTCTTGCCTTTTATATTTTTGTGTCATTGTTTAGATTTCAAACCTGGGGACAGGAGCTGCTTACTGTTCTTATCTGTAGTTCAGCTGGTCATAGGAGCCTTTTTAGCTGAAGAATAAAGTGTTAACTTTATTATGATGTAAAATATTTATAGCCCATCCACTACCCAGCAGATTTTGTAAGGAGTGAAAATACCTAAAGAAATAATGCACATTAATCAATTATAAGCATGCACTTCACATTAATTAGATGCTCTAGGGTTCTCAGAAATAATGAATCTTGGGATTTGACAAGTGTGACTAGTAATCCAGGAAGCCAATTGTGAGAGTTGCAAAACAAGCAGTGTTGCATCATGGAAAGGAAAGGCCGCTTTTAATTACATGATTCTTTCCTGTAGGAGGGGTGACCCAATCAAATCATCACTGCAGATTTCAATATTTGCACAATTTCTTTGACAATTTGGAGAAGCCAAAGTGCAAAGTTGACTGGGGTTATTGAGGGTACATTGAACAAAAATAGAAAACAATAGCAATAACCAAAGGGAAGCAAAACAGAGTATCAGAAGAGTTATTTTCATATGGAGGCAGAGGGAATTCCCCCCCCCCACATTTTTAGGAAGTCATAGAGGAGAGACAGTGAAGAACCAGATTCTTGTGTGGGATTGTGCTTGTGTGGGATTGTGCTCATCCATTTGTTTAACTCTCTAGAGCCACACCTGCTTGTAGTTGCCATATTTATTTCATTTCATTTTTATTGACTTCTTCATCATAGTTATATGGCTGCCTACCTCACAAAATGTGACTCTGGATGATGTACAATAAAAAAAACCCTATAAAATAATAGTATGAAAAAGGACATCAATTAGAAATATTAAGGTTACCCAGAAATGGAAAATATTGTACTGTATGACATCAAAACATGGGCTCCTAAGTTGCTGCACTAAAAAAAGAGGCAGGTTTTATAAGAACAGAATTCTTCTCCATTTCCATCATGCAGATCTGGATTATTTGAGACCATCAACCCACATTTCAGCATCACTTGGGACTTTGGGAGGAAGGACTTATAAATCCAGAAACGGGCAATGGAATATCCTGGAGATGAGAATGTTTGATAATCTATGCCAGAAAATAAAAGATGTAAATCTCTCTTTGTTTTAATATGAACATTTTATTTAATCCCCCCAAACAGATATGCCCCAAAGGGCCAAGAATTCTGGGCTTGCTCCTTCCACTCACTGATGTCACCACATCAATCAGTCCCTAGGCAGAAGCTAAACAAATGAGTTTTTGATCATATAAAATTGTGGCCCAACCAATGGTAATGGAAATATGACCGGAATTTCAGTATTTTGAGCCTGTGCAGTTTTCAATGTCACCACAGCAGGGTTCATCCTCTACCCATTTGGTTGACATGATTGTCAGGGAAAATCATGGTTAGGTGAAAGAGTGATTTTGAGGTCAGCTTGGACCTTGGCACTTTTAAACTCTCTCACCCTAAGATAAACCACATTCATCCCCTCTTGTAATCTCCTCCACAGATGAATACTAGTTTTTTTTTTGTGTGTGTGTGAGTCATAGGGAAAGGGAAAGTGACTATGGGTGTCGGAAGCTTTAACTTCCTCCTCTTACCAGAAAATAAGAGGCCAGCATTTCATTTCATAATTCATTTCAACCTGTGGTGGCATCTGAAAGATTGCTCCTGCATAGATTCTGCTAAATTCAACATCAGATTTATTCTTGTTAAACAAAGAGCATTGGTAAATCTAAGAAGAAACCTGAAGGCATTGCAGTTTAGGTAAGTCAACAATTATTCTTTAAAGGCCGTCAAAGAAGGCTGCTTCGATGCTGTCTATTATCTAAGACTGAAAAGAGTGACTGAGGACATATATTGCTCTAAGACATGATTAGATTAACCATGGTTTCTTCAGTAAACTAAAATTGGTTCAATTTGCACAAACTGCCAAAGTAAACCTTGACGCATATGCCTCTAACATATTTCGAGCAAAGGCAGAGCAGGGAGTATTTGGGGATACATGTTGGACAACAGTACAAACTTGATTCTTTTTGGTGAAAATATTCAAATAAGGAAAATGTTTGAATTTATTAATAAGAGTGAAGCTGCACAGCACATATTGCCTATTTCTGGAATTAGCTTTGTTGTGTTTCTTAATTGCCTTTGGTGTTCTTGTAGTTGGATCAGAGTGGTAATATAGTGGCATGATGTTACTGCATTGACTATGTGTTCTTTAGGGAGAATTCTAAAGAATTCAAAATAGCATCAGAGCACTAGCAAAAAAGGAAATAAGAGACTAGTTTCAACCATGAAATGAGTAAATTTAGAGGCACACTTTGATCTCTTCCAATAACAACTTCTTTTGCACCAAACAATATATGTGGAAATCATTAGTGAAGTTGTTCATATGCTATTTTCATCAGCATAACCTTTTGTTTTCACCACCAGGTGTAAATTCTTCACATATGATGTTTGAAACAATATTTCAGTTTTAATTTTTCATAGCAATAAAATGAATGGAAAACTGAACTTGATTAGGATAACAGGAGAGGCTATAGTCTTGCGCACATCTATGAAGACTAAACTCTTTGAATATAGTGAGGATTCCTTTTGTCTCCAAAAGTTCAAACTGGGCACAGGTATTCAAGTGGGACTTGCTATTTCTCCATTTATTGCTTATAAGCATTTTCATAGCATCACCCAGCAATAGCTGAAGGAATATATACATTGTCTTCATCACAATGATTGGATTTTAGAAGCTACCAAGTAATTAGGAGAGAATTTAACTAAAAGATAATCATACCTGTTTTATATATATCAAAACACTAAGTATTTTGAATAGCCAAATGCCAAACATGTTGGATCCAGGTTTAGTCATATTTAGATAGATCTGTTGGTATCATGATCATCTTCAGTAGAACTAATTTCAAGGATCTGTTCTAAATATGGATAATTCCAGATCCAACCCATAGGAATTGTAATTATTGTTATTAACTGGAGCTGACATTAATTACATTTAAATAATTATTAATAATTAATGATGCTTTTCATCTTGCCTTTAAAACATTGATAATAAATGCACCTTGGCTAAGAAAGATTTTTAAACCATTTCGGCAAATATCCTGCCTATCTCTCAAAGATAGAGAATATAATCATTCTGGGAGAATTAATGGGACACTTTCAAAAGCCTGGAAACCCTTCTGTTTATAAGAAGCAAAGACCAGCCCAGTAGCAACCAACATCAGAAAGCTAACAAGGAAACTGAACAAATCAATTTCATTTATGGCCCAAAGGCAAGGCAGACATATATCTGAACTAGGTATTAGATAAAAGAGCCTGAATAAAGTATTTAATAAATATTACATACAAAATTGAATCTAAGGCTAAGACATATTTATCTAATTCCAAAGATACTAAGAAATGGGCTAATTATTTTTCTTTATAGCTCTGGAACCAGGTAGCTTTTAGGAATACTAAGACAAATAGTCTTGCTTTTT